TTGTCTGTTGCATTGGTGCGGGCTGCTAGCCTGTGTTTGAGGGGCGGGAGGCAGTCATGGCGTGGTGTTGGGGCGATGGACGGGGCGGGGGTGTTCTCATCGGATGAGTGAGCGTGCCCTTTGTGCATAGGCATATGTGGATAGATTCATGGAGACGATTTGGACAAGCGAGTGCATGGATGCCATCTGTCAATTATCTCTCATCAGGTTTGTGTATGACTCACGGCTGTTTGTCATGAGTTCATGCAGGCGTACCTGCTGTACCGCAGTCAGTCAACGCTGGTCATCCATGCCATGGGAGTATGTGCAGACTGTCACTCACTCACACAGAGCGTTCGGCTTTTCTGTGAGACCTTTCTGAGCTTGCACGCTTGAGGGTGGAAGATCTTCGGCGGAGATCTGATCTTCGGCGTTCCCGGGTGCGCACATGCACGCACATAACGCAGACGCTCTCGCATGTTGGCCTCTGTTGTGTGTAGATGGTTCGAAAGAGGCAGGTGTTGATGGACCACGATGGCGGGACACCGGACGACTACATGGCCACCGCACTCCTTCTCACCATGCCGCACATCGACCCCGTCGGCTTCGTCGTCACGCCTGCGGATTGTTACATTGAGCCGGCCACTCGCGCCACGCGCAAGATTCTCGCCCTGTTCGGGAGGGAGCATGTGCCGGTGGCTGCGAGCGAGGCCAAGGGACACAATCCGTTCCCTGCGGCTTGGCGGCAGAACTCATACGCCTTCGACGACCTCATTGGCGGCGCTGATATGATGGAGCCTGCCTCCGCTGCAGTCCCATCGGGCGTCGGGTTGATGGAGCAGCTGCTGGGGCAGGCTGAGGCTCCGCTGACCCTGCTGGTGACTGGACCGTTGTCCAATGTGGCTGCATTGGTCGACCGCAGACCAGATCTGGCCGGCCGCATCGAAGAGATGGTACGCGCCTAACCAAACTGCGTGGCTGGGCTACGGTCTCCTATCCATTTCCTTTTCCTCAGGTGTGGATGGGAGGCTCCCTGGATGTGCCAGGCAACGTCAGCCCCGAGATGGAACCTTCTCATGACGGCTCTGCCGAGTGATGACAGTCACTACCGGTGACACGCCAGAGAATTCATCGCTGCAAATCCCTCTGTTCAGGTGGAACGCCTATTGGGACCCCTCTGCAGTGCAAACCGTGTGGCAGACTGACATCCCGATCGTCCTCTGCCCTCTCGATGTGTGTGAAAAGGTACAGACAGGAAGAGAGAAGAGAGAAGAGATGGAGGGACACACAAGAATGATATTTCTGTTCGGCTCCTTTCGTTGTGTTTCAAGGTGCCTGTCACGCGTGGCTTCATCGGTAGCTTACGTGCACAGTCACAGCACCGCCTCTCCCAGGTCGCCGCGGCCGGCTACGAGATGAACATTGAGCGCGACAAGCAGTGTCTGTGGGACGTGCTGGCGGCCGCTTACCTCGCCAAGCCCGAGCTCTTCACGTCGGATCTGATTGAAACAGCCATCATCACCACGGGCCCCAGCCGAGGGCGCATCTTTCGCCACCCTGGCGGGCGGCCTGTGCGGGTCCTGCGGGATGTGAAGGCAGAAGAAGTGCTGCATTACGTCCTTGAGCAGTGGGCACGCTAGAGGAGGGCTGAGGCTCTCTGAGAGACGGTGTCGATGCCGCATAGTCATCTGTTGTCGAGACGTGCATGAGCTTTTTGTCTTTTGAGCGTTGATGTGAATGGGTGCTGCGCATGGCGACGATGCAGATGTAGAAATGCTGCATAGGCTGATTTGGTTTTGTGTTCAATCACTGAATGGCACGATCGAATGTCTCTCGGCCGCAGCGAAGAGCCATACGCACACAACATGATGAATCCCTTAAACGAACACAGGCCAATCTGTCCCAACAATCACGAGTTCACTAGGCAGAGACACATTTATTAGCAGTCAGGCGGAACACACCCAGTCCCACGAAGCCCCATTGCATACTGCTGTAAGATACCGGCGGGCAGGTATTCTGAAAGTGAATGCCGCCTTCTCAGTGTATGTATCGTCAGCCAGAGGTTGTCACCCATTGGCGTTTGCAGCAGCCCGGACGAGTTTCTCCACTCTGCCATGGGCCGCCTCCATCTGCTTCCACGCGGCCAGCAGCCGACCCAGGGCCACGTGAGATGACAGGCGGCAGGCTCCCAACACCTCAATGAATTCGCTGAGGATCAGTACTACTGAGGGTCAGAGTAGGGCGGGGAGCGCCGTTGTTAGTCCGCAGACCGAGATCTTCCGGGGTGTTTATCGTGGCTGACCGGATCTCTATCTGCCGATCCTTGCATTGAAGCTCGCACCCTTTCGTCCCAGCCGCTGCCCCCAACTTCTCCTTTTCCCCCCTCCCTCCGTCAGAAGGTGCAGGTCCATTGGCGGGGCTGCGTGCAGGCGGTGTCTGCCTTGCGGTGGGCGTTCACGTGAGCACGGCCAGCACGACAACGGGGCCGCCAAGCAGTGTGGCCAAGACCTCTCAGCCGCCCTTCCATGGCCGCCCTCACAGCAGTCGAGACCGTAATCCCGTCAGTGGAAGCAGGTCGGTATGTGCAGCCACAGAGACAGACAAGACAGACATTCCACCAGGTTTCCTTCTCTGCTTGTATTGTAGCATCCCCTGGTCAGCCTGACGCAGCAGCCAAGTCACCACCGAGCACAGGCGCACCAGAGCCGACGCAGCAGACCAAACCCGTGAGAGGGCCATTGAGGGACAGACAGCAGAGTCCTGGCACATACGGCAGACTCTTCTCTTTCGCTCTTGCATGTGCAGGCGGACACCATCCTAACAGTGGATGGTGAAGCCCTTTCGGTGATATCGAAGATCAAACGGGTGATATCGACAGAGCACGGCAGCTGATCGTTCACGCCTCACGCGGTCGCCTGTATGTGTCTTCTAGAGGAACATCCACGATGCGGTGAGAGCTGGTGACCTGACATCCGTCGGCGACCGTCGCTCAGCTGATCAAGCTGCACGGACTGAATATCCTTGACGAGAGAGAATTTTGGTGCCTCTGCTGCCGCTGCCAAGATGTAATAGCATTTCGACTCCCTTGCACTTGCAGCAAAATCACTCGACTTGAGTATACTGCAGGTTGGCGACACACCTTTCATCGTGGCCGCGCAGAAGGGTCACGTGGGTATCATGTCGATGATGTATGCGAGCAAACCTGACGTACTGCAGCAAACAGACGGGGTACCGACACAGCCAAACCATCTTGTGTGCTGCTGTTGGTGATGAGGAGATGTGTGTTGGCTGTGATGAAATTCAGATTGGTCACACGGCCATGCACTATGCGGCACAGAACATGCACTATGCGGCAGAGAAGGGCCATGTTGCGGCTGTCAATCAGCTGCTGGATTGGGATCCCAAACTGATCGACGCACGCACCAAATATGTAACAAACCACACACATGTCTCTGACGCTTTGTGTGCCGATTGTGTGTGTGTATGCTGATTCCAGAGAATGGGCATGACGCCATTCATCACGGCTGCCAGGTATGGAAAAGTCGATGTGCTAAAGGCACTGTATGCCAAAGGAGGCGACAAGCTGCTCACGCAGACCGACGCTGTGAGACACACAGGAAGTAAGTCTCTCATCTGATTTATTGCCTTTCCCATGCCGCACACAGCATCGCTGGACGGCACTCCATCGTGCTGCATACGGCCGTCACTCTGCGGCTGTTTCTCAGCTGTGAGACTCAGATGAATGACGGAAATACCTCATCCGCACTCTCTCTCCTCGTGTCCTAGGCTGGAGTGGGGTGGCGGTGCTTTCCTTGACATCAAGGACTCGGAGGTAAGTGCACAGGCATACACATCATTGCTCATCTGGTCTCTTGACGACAGGGGAAGACGCTCTGGGACTATGCGGGCAAAGCGGACAGAAAGATCATGGAGAAATACAGACGGTAGTCACTGTGTGGTGTGAATGCACAATCAATACATCAACAGGGAGACACGCGGGCAGAGACACACTAGGTAGATTATGTTCTTTGGCTGCACAGGGACTGCAAGAAGCCCGGTGAGGGGGTCTTCACGTTTGCTGACGGCTCCTGGGAGGGCCAGTGGACGGGCGACGACTTGCAGGGATCCGGGACGTACAAATGGACCGACGGCCGTATCTACATGGGACAGGTCATACACAGCACACTCATCGCCTGCTTGCTTGCCCGACCGCCTGTGTGTGTCTTATGCCGTACAGTATGATCGTGGCGAAATGCACGGTGAGGGTCTCATGGAGTGGCCCGACGGCCGTCGTTACGAGGGCCAATACTGCCATGACAAGAAACACGGATGGGCAAACTCTCGTGGCCCGACGGCCGCTGCTACGAGGTGCGTGAGAGACTCAAATCCCGTAAGCCACTTCATCATCATCTGTGTCCTGTCTGCTTTTCAGGGCGAGTGGAAGGCCGGCAAGATGCATGGCAAAGGGACATATACCACTGCAACAGGTAAGCACCGCAGACAGCTCAAGGAGTTGTGTACGGATGTCATTCGTGCAGGTGAATCGAGAACAGGTGAATGGGCTGACGGCACCTGGCTGGCAGAGGCACAGGCAGGTGCGGGACTCCCGATGATACGCTGGAGGGAGATCGTATATTTTCTTATGATCTCTTGATCAGACGTCAGTGACGACGGTGCCCAGAGTTCACCCATGAGCATCGAGCACGTGAGAAGGCAATACGCCAATGAACTATCGATATCATTGTCGTGTGTCAGACTGACGTCTTTGATGCCGTCCTGGCCGGCGATGAGCAGTCCCAGACCCTTCGTTTGCTCATCAGCAAGGACGGCAATCACATTCTCGACAAACGAGACGAGAGCAAGTTGAAGGTATGCAGTCGTGAAGATGACGCAGGAATGCATTCAGTGGTCTGTTGTGTGTTCTCATTTCTGCGCGCAGTTCACCCCCTTCCTTCGAGCTGTGGAGGAGGGTCACGTGGGCGTCATGTCGGTCATGTACGAGAGCAAACCTGACGTACTGCAGCAAACAACGGGGGTACCAACACAGCCAAACCATCTTGTGTGCTGCTACTTGTGATGAGGAGATGTGCGTTGGCTGTGATGGAATGTAACAGGGTGGTGATAATGCAATGTACTTGGCTGCCGAGTATGGCCATGTTGCGGCGGTCAATCAGCTGCTGGAGTGGGATCCCAAACTGCTCTATTCACCCGACGATGTAACAGACCACACACATGTCTCTGTCATGTCTCTGACGCCTCAGTGAGGGTCGATTGTGTGTGTGTGTGTGGGTTGCGAGGGTAGTCTCACGCCATTCATGTATGCTGCCGCGGCAGGAAAAGTCGATGTGATGGAGGCCATGTATGCCAAAGGAGGGAAACAGCTTCTCACACAGACCTTCGACGTCGGAGACACTGCCCGAAAATGCACACAGAATGCCTCTCATCTGATTGATTGCCTTTTCATGTGTGCATAACACACACAGCACGGCGCCTTCACGGCACTCCATTGTGCTGTGCTCAATGACCAGCCTGCAGCTGTGTCTCAGCTGTGAGCGACACATATGACTGTAACCAACTTCTCCTCTCACTGTGTATGTGTCATTCTCGAAGGCTCGAGTGGGGTGGTGGTGGTGCTCTCCTGGACATCAAGAAAAGAGCGGTGAGTACACATAAATGGTCACATCATTTCGATGGGTTCAGTGAGTGATGTGCTCATCTCATCTCATGACAACGGAGATCAGGGGATTTGCTCTGCCTATAAATACTACACGCCCTGGGAATTGGCGGTTAAGTACCGCAAGCCGGAGATGATAGAGATCATGAAACCGTACAAGCCTAATTGTGGGCCTTGCTGCATGATGATGTTTAGAATCAAAGATCATTTCAGATGATTGATCATGATTCATCATGCATGTGTCGTCGCAAATGACGTGTCAAATACATACGAATGACAGCCCCCGATTTCTTTCCTGTGTCTTCATCTGGACCATTGCGCGGGCCGGGGAGGTGTGGTGTGTTCCATGAGACATCAAGACTTGATGGAAATGTGCATCAACACGTGAGCATGCAGCCCTCAGTTTCTCTCTACATCGATGCTGCCCTGCTCTCACACGCTACAAACTGAGCGGTCGATTCGTCCGCCTCGTTCGTCCGCGTCGTTGTTATCACGCTGGCGAGCAACAAGACACAAACTAATGACTGACACAGACAAGCAAGGAGACACGTAGGCAATTCAAGTGCTGTATATTCCATGTCTCAACCAAGAAAAGATATCACTGAGACCGACCAAACACACATACTAACTGGTCAGCTGCTCACAAAGGGTGCGATTTCCCCCATCCAAAGCGCCCTGTACCCTTTCGATTTTCGTTCTTCGCTTCCCGCATTCATTGTTTCAAAGGTTTCGTTTCTCTCAGGCTCGGTCTCACACTGCCTGCCCGATCCACGTATGAACACGACATCAGCCAGCACATAGACGGCAGCCAACCAAAAGTAGCCAGCCACTATGTATGTAAGACAGAGAGATGTCACTCACCCCGTGTGTGTGTGAGCGCATCCATCCATCCAGCCATCCATCGGTGTCCATCCATATGTATGTGGGCCGTCAATGGCGCCTCAACAATTGTACATCCCAGCTGGCACCAAAGAAACGACACACACGGCGACGTACAAGCAGAAGCACAGCAGCCAGCCAGTCGGGGAGGGGAGGGAAGAGGTCCAAGGTGTGTATGTGATGGGGAGGGGTCATAAATCTTATCCATCCATCCATCCATTCATTCAGAGTAGACGACCAGACTGACTGGGTGGTCGTCTGTCTGTGTCTGCCACACGAGGCGATGAAAGGCATGATGGCCAAACAAAAGAAAGACGAGTCAAGACTTATACGCCAATCATCCGTCAAGTGCCCCCCACCCACACAGTCGCACATCGAGTTCCCCTGCCCCCCCCCCCGCGACAATGGACGAAGAAGACGGAGAAAGGAAACGATCAATCGACGACGACAAAAAGACCCTCACGACACCATACGCGGCACCCCACCCCATCCCTCCATCCGACCCATCGACCTACCCCGTGCATTTGTCTCCATTACTGCCCCTCTCCTCAGCTCGCCAAGGGCGCGGCCAGAGAAGGAACAAAGCAGTAATGGGCTGACTGTGGTAAGGCGGTGTGGGGAGGTACCAACACAGTCGGCAAAATGGCAAAGGAAAACCGACACACTGAGTTCTCCACCCGATGAGAAACAAAAGATGGAGAATGGACCGATAGGCCGACGACGACAGAAATGAACCCCATGACACCACCCACACGCAGCACCCAACCCTCCATCCATCCGACCAATTTGTGTCCATCACTGCCCCTCTCCCCAGCTCTTCAGAGAAGCGGCCAGGGGAAAAATTCATAAGGAAGGCAAACAACAGTGATGGGCTGACTGACTGTAGTACGAGGGGTATGGGGGAATCAACACAAACACAACACGCAATGCGCTGATTGCATTGCCCGGCCTGTCCACCGCTGCCCATCGATCCCCCGCTAGTCCCGAGGAGCGGCGAGGTCAGAGCAGTGGTGGACTGACTGACTGACTGGCGAGGGAATGCGCTGCGGTGACAAAAAAGACCGACCGACAAACGACGACTGATGTTGGAAAAAACACCATCACACACACCATTGGCAGGCAGGCCAGACGCCATAGCAGTGGCCATATCTCTCTCCCGCTCTCTCACATCCACCCACGCACAAGAGACGCAGCCATCCGCATAGTCTCCTCCACCCCTATCAGTCTGTCTGTCGGATGGCCTCTATCTCTTCACTAAACGGCCATCAATCAAAGAAAAGGCACTCACTACAGACACGAGAAAGGCGGACAGTCGGCCGGGTACTCCACTCACTACACTCGTGAGTGACAGACACAGGACAGACAGAAAGAGAGAGAAAGGCCATCGACAAATCAATCGGTCAGCCAGCGAGGCGAACGTGTTGGCAGCACACACAGCACACACACGACAGCTAACACCGTAAATGAATGCAGGCAGACAGACGGACACCAACCGCACACACGTCACTCACTGAAAAAAGCACTTGAGCTCATCCATCAGCCAAGACAGACAGACAGACAGACGATCCAGACACGATCAACAGGCAGTCAGAGAGCAGCGAGGAATGGGTGGCTGAGCGCATCGGTGGGCCAAATGCGCTCGTCGGGCTGCCACGCCAACATCCGCTGCACCAGCTCACCACACACACACACACACAGAGAGAGAGAGGTGCTTTCAGGCGTCGTGTCGGCAGCTGTCCCTCCCGCCCGCTCACCGTGAGGAGGTCCATGCCGTCGGCGTCTTTGTGCAGAGGAATGTCGGGCGACTCCTGGGACACACAGACAGGTTCGCCACTGTTGGCGCTCACTCACACACGCTTGGGTCGCGTGGCATGCCTTGATCCAGACACGGCGAGGACCCTCTGCGTCAGCGGACTGTGCACCTTGACCTGCGACGCTTTGAGACAGAACACACCGACCCCATTCTCGATCGCATTCCTCTCGCCATAGCACCAGATCACCGAAGGGCTCCCCATACTTACCTTCCAAGCAGCACGAACCAAAGAAACTCATCACACACATGACGGATCTGTGTTGTTCGCGTGTTGTCTGCTCACCACTGCAATGATGCCTCCGTGCATGCGCCCCATGGTGGTGTTGTTGATGCCGTCCATCGACTTGCGGTTGGTCCTCTTGCAGAAGGCGTCACAGCTCTGCTGGACGTTTGTGCTGGCCCCGCACTGCGTCGTTTTCCACCAAGGCGTATCGCCGCCCTGTCACTGCTCCTGCACACACACATCCACCACGCACGATGCATGTGCACGCACTCATGTGTCCACATGTGTTTACCTCTGGCATCGCCGTCAGGTGCTTCTCCCGTGGCGCCTTGATGAGCAAGTGCTCCGTCACAGGCTGCACGTTGGTCGCAAAGACGCTGAGCGCCATCGACGGTCCGTCGTTGCAGGCGAGGGTGTTGCCTTGGCCCCTCTTCTGTGCGTGTCGATACCAATCGTCCTGGCAAACACAACACACACAGGACAGGTATATGTATGTGCACGTCAGATGGTGTTGGACTCATCTGGCATGACTTACGATTGGTTTCTCGGGCGGTTTGGTGGACCGGCGGCGTCTTGCACGTGGGTCAGCTGCCGCTGCTGCTGCCGCTGCCGATGAGGAGGACTGCTCGTGCTGGTGATGCTTCCTGGTGTCGCGTGACATGCCGGAGGGGTATTTGTGCCCATACCCGAGCACCACACCCCGAGCGATAGACGTACTCGTCACCAACCACGCCTGGCAGACAAACACCGCCGAGAATTCTTTGCCTAAACCCTAGTCCCTGCCTCTCAACTCCTCTCTGCTGTGGAAAACCCTACACCCCACGATTAGGGTTTTAAACCCTATCAGGAGATATCAGAGATGGGCAACAACGCCACTAGCGAGGATAGACAGCTGATATATCACGCCTTGATATCCTCTGACATTCCCGCTGAGGACATCCCCCACTGCCAGTACCTCCACAAAGAGTATGCTTCAGTCTTCAAGAGGTTCATGGACGAAGAGGGCAGGATCACCGACCATGGTGCTTTCGCCGCCTGGGCGCGTTTCGTCAAGCGGAAGGAGTACGAGCGGTACGGCTTCCCTGACGGCTTCCGCCCTGGCGATACTTGGGTGAGTGGGTGGCAAGTGCTGCTGGACGGAGGAGAGCGGTCAGCGTTCTCGACACGATCACCGCAGTCATCCGGTGCGCCATCCAAGCCCTCTCCGGGAGCAGAGGCATCCAGGACAGCATCCGAGTCGGCATCTTCCATCCCTGCTGCGCCAACAGATTCGAACACCCCGGCGGGACCATGCGGCCTCAGCGTCAGATCGGCCAGACCCAACACCGCAGACGGAGAGCGCGAGCCGCTCTTGGTGCGTCATGACGCCACCGTGGAGAGCAGGAGGGGGATCATGGGGCAGGGGGACAAACGGAAGTGGGAGTGAAGCTCAGGGATAACTTACTGACTGAACTCGTTTTATAAAGCCTTGTGTATGTTCTGTGTTGCGGACTGAGCGGCTGAGATCTGCACGGCAAGGGGGACGGGCGGACGATGTGTGTATTGTTAGCTGAATGAACACATGTCGGGCGGTGCTCGCCAGTCAATCATTTGTCGTTCCATGCACAACCAGCTCTATACCTAGGGATCTATAGCATTGGGTGATGGACAGACCTCATTCGGCCAAGCACTGCATTCTTCAGAAGAATACGTCTAGACAGGAGTGAGTGCCATGAGCATAGCTGCCCAACCGTGCTGCGCTTGTGTGACGTCTCTCGCCCTCCCCTGCCCCATCGTGATGGCGCTTGTGCGTCACGAGAGACAGGGACACACAAGAAGCACCACACAAGCCCGGACAAGGAGGCCAAACCAATCAGGTACTCATCATCAGATGCAAGGAGGACGTGGCTGACCTCATACCGAGCTTAACTTTGATCGACACGCAGAGCATCATTCCCCACACAGGCGTACCACACACACGTGGGGTCAAAAAAAGACTAGCTCGGCACCGCACGACTTACATGACACAATGGATAAAGGAAGATAGACAGAAGTGGCCTGGCTGTGGGTGCACACTCACATACGCTGGCCCTCATCGCATTACATTCACACCACCGCCTCTCTGGAGAATGCGTCACTGAGCCTTTTGCTCGGGGAGCGGCGCAGTCTCCTCTTCCGTCGGCTCGCGACCTCTGCACACCGCACACACAAACATGAAACACACGCAGTGTACCCGACAGGAACACCCACACAATCCCCCCTCACCCACCGGAACTTGTCGGGCAGCGGTTCGAAGACGATGTCCTTCATGGCCTCGTTGCTGGGCGGCAGCACCCCGGGGTACTTGGACAGGTCCGTCTCGTCGTCGGGGATCTCATAGGCATCCCACATGCAGCAGTCGGCACCCATGATCTCGGCACAGATGCCGTCACCGCCCTGACCGGGGCCGCGCAGCCAGCGGTGAGGCAGCACCCAACGATTGCCCTCACGGTCCTCGCCTGCAGCCACACACACACACACGTGTCAACAACACAGACGAGCATTAAACGTGCCATTCTTCCTGCGGTTGTGTGCTCACAGATGAAGTCCGATGAGGGGTGTAGTCCACAGACGAGTATCTTGTCGCCTGGGTTGAAGACCTTGGTCTTGCTGGGGTCGTCGGCACCCACCATCGACGACGGCTCAGACAGATTCGCCAGAGTGTGCGACGGCTGCCCAAACGAACACCGAGAGAGAGACAGAGGGGTGGCAGATCAGTGCGGCAGCCGCTCTCAGGTATCCTAGCGTGTGTGTTGTGTTGTGCTGCCTGCCTGCCTGGCTGGCTGCCTGTCTCGTAGCGCTGTCTGCCTGTCTCAGGCCGTTGTCCGTACCGGGTGCCTGAAGAGCGGATATCGCAGCTGAGGCATCTTGTCACTGAGGATCAGTTGCTACAGCACACAAAACGCGTCGGCAGCAAAGAGGATCCGAACAGAGTCAGTTACGGCTTAGCTCGCAAATGCGAGCTCTCCCCTCCCCGACTGATCTCCGTCCTTTGGGGCAAATGCGTGAAGGACCTGCCCAATAGTGCTGTTCTGCGAGCCCTGGTACATCTGAAGTGAGAGATCCATTGAGCGATGGAGAGCGCCTCCCGTGTGGACCTGAAGGCGGCCTCGGGCGAGTATTCGATTCTCATCGGGCGAGATCTGCTGCCGCACATCGCACAGCACCTCAAGCAGGTCAGAAAAACAATCAAACAAACCACGCCGATAGACGGACAGACAGACAGACTCATTCATCTCATGTCGGTTGCCTCTGTGGTGTGTGTGTGTGTCAGGAGAAGATCGGCGCGTCCATGTATGTGATAGTGACGGATGTGACCATCGAGCGGCTCCATCCGCAGCGCATCGACACCCTAAAGCAGCAGCTGACTGGCGACTCTGCGTCACCGACACGTGTGCTGGTGTACGTGATTCCCAATGGGGAGAAGAGCAAGACGCGCGAGATGAAGGGCCGCATCGAGGACTTCATGCTCAGAGAGAAATGCGACAAGGGCACCGTACTCGTGGCACGTGAGTGACCTGAAAGGACCTCCACCAGGTGCTGACTGGATGGCTAGCCGTATGTGTGTGTATGTCAGTGGGTGGTGGGGTGATTGGTGATATGATTGGGTTTGTGGCCGCCACCTACTACAGAGGCATCAAGTAAGCATCTCTAACAACTCAATGCTCAACCGTTCGTGTGTCTGTTCCTCCGTGTCAGTTTCATCCAGATCCCCACCACACTGCTGTCAATGGTCGACTCGTCGGTCGGCGGCAAGACCGCCGTCAACACGCCTTTCGGGAAAAACCTCATCGGTCGGTCGGTATCGGCCAGCACAAGAGAATGCTCAATCAATGTGTGTTTGTGTGTCGCCGTGTCAATCAGGAGCGTTCAAGCAGCCGGTGGCCGTGTATGTGGACATGGCCTTCCTCGACACTATCGACGACAGGAACATGGCCAACGGTATGGCTGCTCTGTCACACACACACACACACGTGTGTGAATGCATGTGTGTGTGGTGTCTATATGCAGGGATGGCAGAGGTCATCAAGTCGGGCCTCACATCGATGCCTGACGTGTTCGAACTATGCGCCGACAACGCTGCCACATACAGGTGTGGCTCACACACGCACATCTCCCCGGCATATGCCGACAGATTCTTGCGTGTGTGTGTGCTCACCCTGCAGGAAGGACGCGAAGCTGCTGCAGGAGCTGATATACCGCGCCATCGCCTTCAAGGCCGACGTGGTCATGCAGGACGAACGCGACGGCGGCATCCGCAATATCCTCAACTTCGGCCACTCTGTCGGCCACGCAGTCGAGCTGCTGCCCAACAACACATGGTCAGCCGGGCGCGGTCATCCGCTGGACGAATGCCTTTGTTGGAGTGTCTCCGTGAGTGAGTGTGTGTGTGTGTGGATGTGTGTGTGTGTGGATGTAGGCTGCACGGCGAGTGTGTGAGTGTGGGGTGTGTGCATGAGCTCATGGCGGCACGTGCGATGGGCCGGTGCAGCGCAGAGCTCGTCCAGAGAGCCGAAAAATGCTTCCAGGTCACACACACACACACTCATTCAAACACAGGCTCCACGCACAGCAATGCCTTCATTGTGTGGGTCGGCCGTCGATGTGTGTCATGATTCACACTTCTGCAGGCCTACAAGTTGCCGACCCGCCTGCAGCCTCCCTACTTCGATGTGGGTCACATGATGTCCAACATGGCGATGGACAAAAAGAACAAGGGCGGCCGCAAGAGAATCGTCATGGTCACAGACGTCGGCAAGACGGCAGACGGACTCATGGAATGTGAGGAAGGAAAAGGTGTCAACCACAGTGTCGCTCGCCACGTGCAATTTGTTCGTTCAGATGTGTCTGATGATTTGTTCATCCGGCTGCTGTCGCCCTCTGTGGAAATCACGTCACCACTGGACACGCAAGCCCCGACACAGACAGACGGTGAGTGAGACGCAAAACAGAAACAAGATCCACATGTCTGTGTGTGTGTCTGACTCAGCTGTGAATGGCGTGGTGGTGCCTCCTCCGCGAGTGATTGCCAATGGGAGTGTCATCCTGCCTGGTATGGACCCACACACCGACTACCCATGCTTCTGCACATACACACACATTTCTTATTGCACATGTCTAACAGGCTCCAAGTCGGTGGCCAACCGTGCCCTCCTCCTCGCCGCACTCGGCAGAGGTAACCACACCGAGGCAACACACACACACAAATCTGTCCCTTCCTCCTTCACTCCCAGGTCCGTGTGAGTTGTCCAACCTGCCCGCGTGTGAGGACATCCGTGTGATGCTCACCGCCCTGGCCAACCGGCTGTCGGTGCCACTCACATACCGCAAGGGCAGCGGCGAGGTGCCTGACGTCATGCTGGAGGGCATGGGGGTCACCAGCGGGGGAATAGAGCAGGCCAAGGCACTCTCCAAGAAATTCGTGATAGAGGTGGGGATCTGCCCTCATGAGCATTGGGCGAAAAGGGCGTATACGCGTGTGTGTGTGTGTGTCTGTGCACGTTTGTGCAGGATGGCGTGTTGCATGTGTGGGTGGAGAATGCCGGGACAGTTGCCCGCTTCCTCACACCCGCACTCACCCTGATTCTCCTCTGGAGCGATCCAAAGGTCTTTGTGAAAATGGGCGCACACCACACACATGTACCCGGATGTGTGTGTATGTGTGGATTCGTCAGGTGTTGACCAAGGTGGTGTTGGACGGCAACAATCGGATGCGCGTGCGGCCTTTGAAGGACCTGGTGGAGTGCATCAAGCTCGCATTCACCGGCGTCAACGTCAAGGTGGCCCAAGCACAGCCACACCACACAAGTGCAACTACACACACGCACACACACAGATGTGTGTTTCTTTCTTTCATGTCAGTATTTGGGCAAGGAGGGGTGTCCGCCGATAGAGATCACCCACACGTCAGCCGATGTGTCGGCCTCCTTCCCGGGAGCCGACATACCCATCGACAACAAAGTAGCCAACGAAGCACCCATACAGATGGATGGATGAATGAATGGATGGATGGATGGATGTGGTCAGGTGAGCAGTCAGTTTGTGAGTGCGATGCTGATGGTGGCACCCTTCGCCAAAGAGAGCGTCGAAGTGCAGCTCAAACACCTCCAGGCACGACCCCTATTCACACACACACACACACACACATGATGCATCACCTTTTCTCTATGTGTGTCCCTCTCTCTGTGCAGGAGGACGCGTCAAGTGGTGTGCAGGAGGCCGTATCACAGCCCTACATCGACATGACCATCCAGATGATGAAGCACTGGGGAGTTGAGGTGCAGCAGCTCGGCCCGGGACGATACAAAGTCCCCACAGGTATCTCATCCACCACCCCACCACACGCACCTTCTGCACTCCTTGGTGTGTATGAGCAGGTGGGTACGTCAATCCCCCCACTTATGCCGTAGAGGCCGATGCGTCGGCGGCCTCGTACCCCCTGGCTTTGGCGGCCATAACTGGGGGCAGGGTGACGGTCAACATGAAGATGCCATCTGTCGACAAGCCACCTCTGCAGGTGCGTCAAGACGGATCCATGTGTCTTCGCGTCCACACGTATTGTGCTGTGTGCTGTGCTGTGCTGTGCTGTCAGGGTGACGCCAACTTCGTGCACCTGCTGGCCGAGATGGGGTGCAAAGTGGAATCAGACCAAGTGGGCGAGACGAATGGGCACCGAACGAGTAGTGTGTGTGTGTATGTGTGTGGGTGTGTGGTCCATGTGCAGACGAGCGTGACGGTGACGGGCCCATCCAACGGCCATCTGCTGCCGGTCTCATCCGACATGGGCAAGATGACCGACACCTTCATGACGGCGGGAGTGCTCATGGCCCGGGCGGCACAGTGTGTGTACGCCACGAGTGGCGAGTCATCCGAGCCGTGTTGCGTCATCACCAATGTGGAGAACCAGCGCGTCAAGGAGTGCAACCGCATAGAGGCAATGGTCGACAACCTTTCCAGATGTGGCTGCAAGGTGGGTCGACGGCCAAACACAACACGCCGATCCATTCACCCACATGGTAGTGCGTGGATGGATACGTACAGATCCGCGATCGTCAAGATGGCCTGGAGCTGTTCCCCTCGCCCCCGCCGGTGGGCTGCCCGGCACCGACCGTCATCAACTGCCATGAGGACCACCGACTCGCCATGTGCTTCGGCGTCTACTCGTGCGTCCAGGCCAACGTCAAAATACCAGAGGTACAGTGATAGACGTGGGGGCAAGAGAGAGAGGGGCGCACCTGTGAGATGTGCGTGTGTGTCACATGTGTGTGTGTGCAGTGGCGTTGTGTGGAGAAGACCTTCAGTGACTACTGGGACGTCCTAGAACGCCTGGGGCTCACCATCAGAGGCAGCAACGCCAAGGTACATGTCCATCTCCACACACATATATCAACACAGCACACACTCCCCCACACGCACTTTGCTCTTAGGTGGAGGACATCCTCCAATCGTCGTCAGTGCCGTCCGAGTCGCCATTGGTGTTGGTGGGGATGCGCAACGTGGGCAAGACGACACTGGGCAGGGCGGCGGCCACCCGACTCGGCCGGCCCTTTGTGGACCTGGACGAGGCCTTCCCGTTCGACATCAAGGCGTTTGTGGAGAAACACGGATGGGACGCATTCAGACAGGTGGGTGGGCGGGCGGGTGGAGCATGTGTGGATCACACACAGTGATGTGTGTTTGTCGCCTAGGAGGAGCTGGCTGTTCTGTCACGCCATCTGGATCCCGCCAGCTTCCCGGATGGAAAGTACGCAGACAGCAGCAAGAGGCGCTCATCTGTTATACGTGTCTGTGTAACAGGGCCCCGGTGATTGCGTGTGGCGGGGGCATTGTCGAGTCACCCAAGGCGATCGAACGGCTGCAGAAGGAACAACAGGTGCTGACACACACACATCCATCCATCCATCCATTCGTCCATCTGCCGCTGCGTTTGTATTTGTGCAGGTGGTGTGGATTCACGTCAGTGACGAGGAGGTCATCCGGCGGTGCGAGAACGAGGCCGTCAAGCCAGCTTACGGCCAGCCTGTCAGGGACGTGTACATGCGCAGAAAACCCCTGTTCAAGGAGGTATGCACTCACACGGAAACAGTCGCTGACAGGCCTGTCATTGGAATGTCTTCTTGTGTGTAGGTGTCGACGTATGAGTTCTGCCCACCCGTGAAGGCCGATGACAAGGCGGTTGAACAGGTGAAAGGGACATACACACGGCCACTGCTGTGCTGGTGTCTGCAAGGGTGTGTCGATGCTCTCCTTCAGGCGTTTTGCACCTTCACCCGCCACGTTGTTTCCCCACCATCTCCCGTGTTGGAGGGCTCCACCTTCCTCTCACTCACATCGCCAGACCTCACAACGGCAGGCATCAACCTCGCAGACATGGCCAAGTGAGCACACACACCACATCAACACCTACCAACGTATCCACTGCTGTTTGCCATCCATCCATCCATTTGTCTTGACAGAGACGTCGACGCGTTGGAGCTGCGTGTGGACCTGCTGGCCGACCCGTCCACCCTGCCGCACCAGATATTCCACATCCGGAGCCAGACGAGCCGACCGATAGTGCTGACGGTGCGGTCCAGAGGAGAGGGCGGGAGGTTCGACGGCGACGACACGGCCATGGCGGCGCTGCTGTGTGAGGGTGTGAGGTGCGGCGTGGAGTTTGTGGACGTGGAAAAGAGGTGGGTGAGCCGAAAATGGGTAGGAGGCTACACACAATGGCTGTGCGTGTGGTTGTCGTGCAGGCTGCCGTCTTCGCTTATTGATACCGTCGTGAGATCGAAGCCACGGCGGACTCGATTGATCCTGTCGCAGCACTTCATTTCGCCAGGCGTGCCGCCGGCAAGCGACGTGCAGAGTGAGCTCACTAACTCAGGCAATATGCTTGCTGCATCATGGCTGCTGCGATGTGTGTGTGGGCAGATCTGATCCGTCAGTTTGACCGCGATTACGTGGATGTGATCAAGGTGGTCTTCACGGCCAGCTGCACAGACGACTGCCTCACACTTGCCCACGCCGTCAGGTACAGGAACCACACACATCACACACACGTGCCGTCATGAGATGAGTGCTATCAGGTCCAGTGGCGTCCGCAAGCCCGTGATAGCCCTGGCGATGGGCGAGGCCGGCCGTCTCTCCCGCGTGCTCAACACACACATGACGCCCGTCACACACAAGGCACTCAGCACCAAAGCGGCACCTGGGCAAATGACCGTTCAGGAGATCGACGCAATGCGGTAAGGATACATCCATCCCTTCATTAGACGCATGGATCCTCTGCCTGTGAGGGTGCAGGCAATCGATGGGTCTGCCGACCCGTTTCTACTACGTCTTCGGCAAGCCCACATCCAAGTCGGCCTCCCCCGCCCTCTACAACGCACTTTTCCCTGTCAAAGGGGTGCCGTGCTACTACGACAGGTCGGCCACTTGTCAGTGGCACGTGCACTCAATCACCTCTTGCACCATCGTTGCGCACTCTCTCGGTCTGGCTGTCTGTCCGTCTGTGTGTGCGTGCAGGCATGAGACCGACGATCCGAAGACCGTCGAGGCCGTCATCAGCTCGCCGCGATTCGGTGGGGGATCGGTGACCATCCCACTTAAGGAGAAGGTCGCCCCACTGCTGCACAGCGTGTCCGAAGACGCCAAGATCATCGGAGCGGTACGTGTGTGGATACACAGACAGCCAGAACGGCGGCTGCCGTGCCCCTTTGTGCATGTAGTATGTGTGTGTCTGCAGGTGAACACCATCTACAAGGATGCCAAGGGCCGTCTGGTCGGCACCAACACCGACTACCTGGCCTTGACACGTGGCCTCAAGCACGCCACTTCACGGAGCGGCAACCAGGCGGCCAAGAGCGTGCTGGTGCTGGGCGCTGGCGGGGCCGCCAGAGCCGCATGCTACGCCGTCAAGAAGCTGGGGATGGACCTCTTCCTGTGGAACAGAACGAAGACCAAGGTGGGCGGCCGACAACTAAACACACATGCGTGCTGGTGGAATCTTGGTGTCGGTCGGTGTGTCCCTCTGTCAGGCGGACTCATTAGCGTCAGAGTTTGGGGGGCAGACAATTGTCATCGACGGCCCTCAAAACACACCACAAGGCGGATTCGCCGCACTGGTACGACGCAATGACTGTTGTTCTGTTGGTCGTCTGCATTGGTTGCTTTCTCTCTATGGTGTCTGGTCAGATCGGCACGGTGCCGGGTTCTTCGCCCTTGGATGTGTCTTCCTCTCTGTTCACGTCATCTGCGCTGCCACCAGTGGTCATCGAGATGGCCTATCTGCCCAAAGAAACACCGCTCGTCAAAGCGGTATGGACGTTACACACAACGTGCATGGATATGTGTGGGAGTCTCTGTGCGTGTAGGGTGCCGCGCATGGGTGTGAGTGTGTGTACGGCATCGACATTCTGATATGGCAGGGGGTGGAGCAGGCCCGGCTGTATCTTGGTCAAGACATCACTGCCCAAGAGGAGAAGGCAGCCACGCAGGCCGTGTACGCCTACTACGAGCAGGTGGCAGCTTCAACCTACACATAACAGCTGGGTGCTAGCTGCATGTGTGCCGGCTGGTCCATGTACATGTCCGTGTTTGATCTATCAAGATGCGCCACGCATCCATCCATCCATCGAGATGCACATGGCATCATGATTGCATGTTGGCCGAAGGAGGCTGGCCAGGTTAGGTGCTGTGTGTATGTATCCAGTGTTTTCAATGAGTCTCTCGTCAACGAGACTGACAGGTGCTTTAGAGGACTTGTAGTATTTGTCTGAAGAGTTCCCGGGGAGCCCGGTTCTTGGGGCCTCGGGCCCCGGAAGGATCGCGAAGGATCGCCCTGGTGTTCTGCCCGCACACGAAGAATGGCTGGCCTTGGCCAGCAGACATCCCTCAAGGTCCTGAACAAGACTGGCAGCGATGCATCGGTAAGGGGGCTCGGTTTCGTGATGTGGGACGGACATGAGTCGATGTGTGTTCACATCAGGTGCGACTGGTGCCGGAGGCCGGTATCGAGAGGGTCCATGAGCAGATCATCAAAGCCGAGACGAACTACGACAGAGACAACCCAGAAGCCGAAATATCTTTGCAATTTGGTGATATCGGAATCGGCGGAAAGCTGGAACGTGGGAGAGAGAGCGGGTATGCACAAAGAAGGGCATGCGCAAGGGACCCAGCGTGCATCGTTTTTCTTCTTCAGCCGTGGAAAAAAGAGTGCGGTAGATGTGGAGGTCGAGTTCGGCTCGCTCCGCCAAGCGGTGGGCTGGCAGTTGCTCGATGTTGGCTCTGAGACAACTCTCCACTCGTACACCCCGTGTTTCATCTCAATCTACATCGAAGGCGGCAAAAACAAGGCCTTGAATCGCCCCATCGACCCCAGCCATTCGGAGCTGCGTAACGGCATTGTCCTCGTCAAAGCCAACCCCCCTTTCGTCCCCTACAATACGTATCTCTATCAGCAGATAAACACAAAGGCCAAACCGTTCCGGCTGCAAAACATCCGAACTGGCCTTGTGCTTACGGCCCTGCGCGGCGTTGGCCAGGAGGCTTCAGTCGTCTTGCAACGGAAGATTGCCACCAAGGATGGGGAGCTACCTGACCCGTCGCAGCAATGGATCGAGCACGAGGACATCCTCTGTCCCATACAGACCTTTCGCCTCGTGCCAGTGGCGTTTCCGCACCTGACGCTTCGGGTGCACAAGATGAACCTCGTCTTGAGCCGGCCCACTACCGAAATAGGCAAGCCGAACGCAGAAGAGGAGGCCTCCTACGAGCAGTGGGAAATGACGCCCTCCTATGAGAGCCATAGTTGTCTGTTTCGATTCATCTTTGGATGCTCCGGATGCTGCGAGCCCCCCGTCGCGACAAGTGACGTGTTTGTGGGACGGCGGGGCAGCGCAGAGTATGGCGGACCAGTGACTCTGTCGTGCGTCGGCCTATCAGAGTATCTAGTGTGTTTGTCGAACGACACCGTCGTCATGAAGAAGATTGGATATTGTGACCGGACGCCTCACCTGTGGCAGCTCAGTGAGCCGATCGCGACTGCAGGTACTGAAGGAAGAGCTTCTTGATGTTGTATGGTGAGCAATGTCTCATATACGCAGGCACCGATATCCAGTACAGTACCCCAGGCGCCATACCGGGATGAGCGAGTCACTGACTGATGCAGCCGCGAATACAGCATGGGGTCTTGTCCTTTCTGCGTGGATGTATGTGCAGCACCCCGCCCCACCGTGTGATAGGTCACCCCAGCTCCCCGAAGGGCGCCACACAGGTATATACCCAGCGAATTTGGAAGCCCGCCCACACTGTGTGTGTGCGTTTGTAAGCAGGTGGCAGAGATTGAGGCAGAGATAAGCGAAGATGGACAGGCGTTGGATAACAAAGGCACAATAGCGAGTCCTCCCGCAGAGCAAGCAGGTCGGTGCGTGAAGCGCCACACATAGAGGAGAGACACAACACATTACGTTACCAAACCGGATAATCTGTCCTGTCGTGCAGTCGAGCAAGGAGAATATTCGGGAACAATTTTCGTGGAGGTGTCGGCCGATGATCCGTCCGCAGACAGAATAAAAAGAGAAATACTCAAGGAACATCCGCATGTCCGTTTCCTCGCCGTATAAGCATCAAGCCATAAGGCCTGCGCTCAGATAGCTCTCTTTTCTCTCTGCTGCAGGCTCGAATCGTTGTCGTGCCACGCAGAGAGCCGATGCTTTAAGTTGCTGTCCCGTTGGCCTGCCCGCAAGCAGCAGCACCCAGATATGGCTCTGCGGGGCCATCTGCGGGTGTCCCGATGGCAGCATCTCCATCGACCGACGAGAATGGAAGAAATTGGGAGATGGGCACTGGGATGGAGACGCCCACAGGTTTCCATTTCCAAACTGCCCATCTCAACAAAGTCTGTGGGAAATTAGAAGAAGTCAACAAACTGCACACACACGTTCGGTGCTCCATACGTTCTGTCTCTCGTTTGTGCCGAGGGCGACCTAAGTGCGTTGATCAGCATCATCGACAAAGAGGGCCGCGAGTGTCTCGAAATGGTTGACGATGACGGTTTCACGCCGCTGCATTACAGCGCCCAAAACGGCCGGGAGGAGCTGGTCAAGGAGATTGTCGAGCACGGAGGGATAGATCTGGTTGAGAAACGGACAAAGATCCAGTCAGAGCCCACTCCCCTACATCTCGCCGCCAAGAAGGGGCATGTGTCGGTGGTCAATCTGCTGCTTGATCTGGGTTATTCAGATCGTCTTTTGACCATCCAGGACAAGGTCAGTTCAATCGAGGAGCACAGACAAAGGGAAAGAACTGTCGACAATGCAATTGGCTCGCTGTGTCTCTTGCATGCAGTTTGGTCGCACGATCGCCAGTGTGGCCGCGGAGGAGGGACAGCTGGAGGTGCTCAATTCCATCGCCAACCGAAAGGACATCAATTTTATTCTCTCGATCGAATCCAACGTACACTCGCTCAACAGGCCATGTCTCCCGCCCCGCATAAATCTCATCTGTGTCTCTCTTAGGGCCGGACGATTTTCCACGACGCCGCATTTGGCGGCCACGTGAATGTGTTGCAGCAGCTAGTCGAGTGGAGCGGCAACCCTTCGCCGCTCGAACGCGGCAACAAACATGGTCTGACGCCTCTCCACATGGCTGCCAGCGGCAATCGCGTTGAGGCCATAGAGTACATGCTGGCCGCGAGAGGCGTGAAGCTTCTCCAGAAGACCAGCAATGTGAGGAATGGCATCACAGGCTCGATGTGAACACGTGATCTTGATGCCATTGGTCTACTGCGTGCATGCAGGATGCCAATTCGGCGATGCACCTGGCCTGTCTGAAAGGGCACAGGGAGGCGGTCATGTGCATGGTCAACAAGGAAGGCAGCCGGGGTCTGCTCAAAAGAACCAACAACTACGTAAGTGGGCCGAAGACATGACGCCCTCTCTCTCTCTCTCTCTCTTTCTCTCTCGCTGTGTATGTGTGTGTTTGTGTGTGTGTCTGAAGGGGAAGACACTGATAGATTTGGCGGAGTGGAAGCGCCACGATGAACTTGTGAAAGAGTTGAAGAGCATGGCTTGATAGGCAGAGGACGTCCACAAGGCTGTGGGTGTTACGCTGAGGGCTGTAAGACATGCCGGCACAGCAGGTTTTCCTCAATTCTAAGGTCCCGTTGGGCGTGTGTATGCGGATGCGCCTCTCATGTATTCATCGACTGCAATTCGTTTCACCAAGTCCCGTGCTTCGTCGGTAAATCGGTTCTCCCACCCACCCACACATCACACATCATAGCCACGCACACGCACACGACAGAAAGCCATACACACGTCTCATCCCACATACACAGGAGGATATCAAACAGGATGTTGCTCGCCAGCAGGTGCGTCTCGGCTGCCCAAATGGCCCACGCCGAATGGTGGCGGGGGCGGGGGCGGGATGCGGACGCCCATGTTGTCGACGGCCACGCCGACCAGAATGCCCATGAGTGAGGTGAGCATGCCGTAGCAACCGTACAGCCAACCCGCCTGCTTGTCGTCAAGGCCATACTCCTCGCTGCATACCATCCATCCGGCACACAGACAGAGAGATGACGCACAGAGAGGAGGGAAAGTGCCTGTTTGCCCACTCCCGCACACACCTTAGCCATATGACGAGAATGACGTTGAATGAGAAGTAAGCGAATTATTCGCCCGACTTAACGAAATGCACATATAGCAGCTCTGCAGCACACACACAGGCAGACACAGACAGACAGACAGACAGATGCACAGAAGCCGACAAGAGAATAGATCTACAGTACATGCATCTGTGTGAGTGTGTCTGCTGGCTGACCTCGTGGGCACTCTGTCAAGGTGGCCAACTTCTCATACAGATGGAGAGCCACCAAGCAGCCTGCACACGGCACCCACCACTTGTGAGAGGTGAGCTCGAGGTCGCCGTCCGTCTCATCATCTGGCAGCGAAGCATCGTATGGCGTTCGGCGCAGGCCGCGAGGTAGACGGGGAAGGAAGCTGCAACGGCACAACTCATCCCTCCCGATTCGTCCTGTTTACGTGCGAGCTTGGGGTCCAGGGAACTTGCTGGGCCTCCAGAGGTTCCCCGGCCCTTGTCGGCCTCCGAGCCCTCTTCAATCATTATGGCTGCTGATTTGGTGATCGACCCGAAGGACCTCACTGTGGGCGACAAGGAGCTCGGTCAGCACCACTCACATACACGGTGGAGTCCACGGGCATTGGATGCCGTGTGTGTGTGTGTGTTATCCTGTTCCCTAGGGAGTGGTGGATTCGGAGTGGTCTTTCGAGAGAGCTGCGAGGGCGGCCCGTGGCGGTCAAAATCTATAAAGGACATGAAGAGCTTGTCAGGATTGCCAGCTTGGCAAGACGAACCACTGCGAGCTTGTGAGGTAGGGTAGATTGCTGTGTAACGGGTGGAGAGAGGAGAAGACAAGGAAAGACAAGGAAAGCATTCTGAGGAGACACGATCTTATCAGCCATCACCGAAGTGAGATCTGTGTTGACCACCCTTCATGATGCCATACATGGACAGAAACAACTTTGACTGACTGGCC